CTAGTAGCTGTTACGTCTACGTTTTTGCTTCTTCCCGTTGTTGAAGTACGGTATGTCGATCTATTTGCAATTTACGAACCCAAATGACCTTAATTTGTCTACCTACTTTTTGGTGCCGAGGATACTTGTCTAATCTAGATTAAGACCTTGATGCGATAGGTTGATTAGCTTAACCTTGAGACTTGTACGCGTGAGTTCGAGATTGGGTAGAGAGAAGAAAACTATTCTGTCACCTGATTGGTGGGCAAGCACACGAATGAGAGAAGACAAGATAACTGGAACACTACTCGATCTATTTTCTGACCACTGAACTGACTGGATTCACTGGATTCACTGGATTCAGATTAGTGTAAAAAAGTACATGAATAAATAAGTGAATAACCCGTCCGCAACGTACAATAATTAGGAAAAATAAAATTATGTCCAAAGCTGGGAATTAGAGTAGAAAATAGGGTGCAAAATAATATGTTTAAATTACAATAGCTTCGGAACAGAAAAAGATATGGCAGTGAATGATACATCAAACGAAAGCTTATGTTCTGTAGAATACATTAGGGACAAAAATAAATGTCAGTGTTTTACAAGCTTTGAATAAAATGAAATAACGTCCCGAAAAATAGCCTTCGTAGTTTGTCAGGGCTTCTTGTTTCCCGGTTCACATCAACATCGAACAATTTAAAAAACGACAATGAATTTTTCGACGTTTAGAGATGCTAAGTTACTGTTGTGCTTACCGCACCAGATGCCAGACTTCAACTTATATTTAACTCTATTGGAGACTTAAAGGTTTGCAAAACACTTTTTCACACTTTTTTACTTTAGCTCTCACTAGTTGAACTTTTGTGTCAGTGCGTATGAATAGCCCATCTAGAGTTACTGATGGTTTCAAGCACACGCTAAAGGTGAGGGTTATGCGTGAGACCTTGTAGAAAATGACCTTTATAAAAAACGCCAACAAGAATATGCAAACCAATTCATTCGAACTGTGACCTCCATGTTAGGGGAAGAATTATGACTCCTCGTGGTGAAATCCAACATTGATTGGAAGTCATGAAACCGATACCTGTTCTAACAATAGAAGCAATGAATTTATAGGTAAATGGAATGTCCAGACAATGTGGGACCCTGGAAGGACAAGTCAAATAGCTACGAAAATGAGGAGATACAACTTGGCAGTACTCAGAATCAGTGTAACCCATCGGACCCAAGTTGGACAGCAAAAGGCTAGATACTATTGTACTCCGGTCGCAAAGAGGAAAATTCTCCACACACTCAGGGAGTTGCTGTTTCGCTATCCAAAGAAGCATGTAATGCACTTATAAAATGTAAATATCACAGATCCAGGATCATCAAGACATCCATCGAAACAAAGAGGGAAGAAATCAGAATCAATGTTATCCAATGTTAAACATCCACCAATGACAGCGACTTGACGATATAGATCAACTTTACGAGAGGCTGCAGTCGATCATAGTGGCATACTCAATAAAGCGTCTGACCACCCTGATGGGAAACCTAAACTCCAATGTCGGAATGGACGACACTGGATATGAAGATATCATGATACGACATATACTGACAGGGAGAAAGGAACGGGAATGGCGAGAAATTTGCAAACCTATGTGTATTTAACAAGTTGGTTGTAGGTGGCACAATATTACCACACAAAGTCATACGCAAAGCTACATGGATCTCACCGGACTACACCATGGAGAACCAGATTGATCACATTTGTATCAGTAAAAAATGGAGAACAGCAATGAAAGAGGTTAGGACCAGGAGAGAAGCTGACATAGATTCGGATTTCTACGGAAACTCTGGATAAGGTTCAGTCGAATAAGAACAGAGAGAGTCAAGACATACGCTGGATAAACAGAAACAAACAAGCAAGTAAAGAGGAGCATTGGAGTCGACAAGCAGAACTACGTGTAAGAGGTAGCAACGACAGCGAAACATGTTGCAAGAGAAGGAAATATGAAAAAGCTACATGAAAAAACGGAAGAACTAGCAAGGAGATATAGTAAACCAGGGAGACCAGCCAAAGACAAAGAAAGCAAGCCTATTACTGAGATTCAAGAACAGAGGAACAGATGGGTAGAACACTTCGAGGAACTCTTGAACAGACCAATCATACATCAAACTTCTTAACTATTGGAAAGCATTTGACATTGTGGATAGGATAATTTTGTGGAACATACTTAGACATCATGGTGTATTTGAGAAAGTCGTCATAGTCATATTAAATTCATACGACGGACTGCACTGCAAAGTGGTGCATGGAGGACAGTTGACAGATGCATCCCAAGTAAGGACTTCATTCAGACAAGTCTGATTGATCTTCCACTTCCTCTTTCTTCTGGTGGTTGACTAGAAAATGAAGACCGCCGCACCTGACAGGAAGCACGGAATGAAACGGACAGCTTGGATGCGGCTAGACGATTCGGACTTCGCAGATGACATGGCCCTTCTATCCTTTATAAATTAATAAATGCAGGTCAGGGCAAACAATGTAGCAGTAGCCTCTGCATCAGTAGGCCTCAACGTACACAAGGGAAACAGAAAGATCCACAAATAGAATACAGAGAACACCAAACCAGTCACAGTGAATAGTGAAGCTCTTAAAGATGTGGAAACTTTCACGTACCTGGGATGCATCATCGATGAACTTGGAGGATCTGTTGCAAACGTGAAGTCGCTGATCAATAAATCAAAGACCGCACTACTAAAATTCAAGAATATATGGAAATCAAAACAACTATCAACCAATATCAAAGTCACAATTTTCAATACAAACGTAATGACAGTCTTACTGTGCGGAGCTGAAACCATAAAAACTACCACACCCGTTATCAGCAAAGTACAAGTAACTATAACTAATTGTTTGCGCAAGATACTCAATATTCATTGGCCGGATACCACCAACAGTCCTAACTTGGAGTCCTGAAGGACAACGGAAAAGTGGAAGACCAAATATCACACTACGTCGGTAATCGAAGTAAACATGAAAGAGATGAATAGCAACTGGAGATAACTGAAAAGGATTAGTCAGGACAGAGTTGTATAAGGAATGCTTGTTGGCAGACTATGCCCCTCCACGAGGGACAACAGGTTTAAGTATTCATAATATTCATAATGTCCACTTTTCCATTTCCCCCCTTCTTTTGACTTTGGCTAAGCTAAGACAGCTCGACAGCCTAGGGAACAGTTTGGAATTACATCGATAGAAAATTGCTTCCGTGTTGTGGGGCAGTTACTCACTGAAGACAGTGGTGGATTGGTTGAAGCTATACTTTAACACCATTTGATGCCGTCTCAGTGGTCTAGAAGTCAAGCGTTCGCTCACCGGCCAGAAGGTCATGGGTATGAGTCCTACGTGTGAGATCATGGATGCGCACGGCTGAACGAAACGACGATCCAAAGCTTCCACGCTTTCCATTTTGATCTAGCTTTAATGGATTCATGAATTGAACTATTAAGTGATGACATTATATCATAAAATAATTTACGAGAGCGTTTGCTTCTTGACTATCGTTTTTATACAACTTAGTTTCTAGCTCGAAGGGTGCAAAATTTACTTATCTTGGATGTATAAGATACTCGGGTTGATTCGCTTTTAAAAATTACTTAGACCACTATAAATTATAGAATGGCCTTGGATAATCTTTTAAAACGTACGGTACATTTTGTCGTGGATGGAATTGTACTGCATTTTATTGAGCTGTTTTCCACCCTAAGGTTTAAGTATAGTTAAAAACAGATAGGCTTACTTAACGTCAGCTTCCGACTATGTCCACAACTTGCATTTTGTTTACTTTAAAATTTCGCTGAATGTACTCATACTTGAATCAATGAACATGAGCATCAACTATTATCCAACATTGGTATAGGTTATTTCTATGAGTTTCTGCAGAAATTATTAAAGTTGAATGTTTCGAATCCAGAAATAGGGCGTAATGTAATACGGTGACATCCAAAAAACTTTGAAACCTGGTATTTACTTTTAAAACGACAATTACTCTCAAAGCACTTTGCAAATATCATTCTCGTCAAACAGAACAAAGTACTTTGGCAAATCGTCTGGGGGATTTCGCTTATCTCCCGCGAAGGTTTTAACGTGGGAAGATGTTTACGTTTCCCCGTCGCATCTTGAGGAACTAATTGCCACCGTTTCTCCATACCTGGTAAAGTGTGTAGACAAAATTTGCGATCAGTAGGTGATTGCATAGTTCATCGAAATTTGTCGCATTTGATCTGAGCTTGATTTGCTAAAGTACTGCACATGTCTTTGGATGCATCATTCATCTAATCCGAATGTCTAAAATAGTTGACATCAGAGTCATTGAGTAAATTTAGATAATTGTGATGGGTATTAAAAACCAGCAACTACTCATGTAACACTTTTACAAAAAAACGGAGTACTTTATAAAAATTAAAATCAGTGTAGACTTTTAACAAGATAAAATTGACTTATTTTATATCCTTAATTGTCATTGTATTCTTGAGGTATGCATGGAGACTCTCGGTGACAGCTCAGAATCGATCACAATGGCGTCGGTGTATACACTCTCTGTCTTCCTTTAAACTAAGAGATTAAAATCGCTTCATATCTTTCTTTCTAGGAACTAATTCTTTCTTCCTGTACTATGTCCTTATATGCAGTCTTTCTTCTATATATTACCGCCACTGAATTAACTACTTCTATGAATCCGGTGTTCATCTTGTTGTGCTAATGCGGTATGGCAACTTGGACCGATGCATTTACGTGCCTGGTCCTATGTTGCAGCTGACTGACTGACTGAGGTATGCAAGGGCTTTCGAATCACTGTTTTGTTCGGCTAATTTAATATTAATTAAACTATGCTGTTGTGCCAGTGATCGAGCTTCACTCTGAATTTCTAATTGAGGTCAAACCTCAAGACCCACTTTTGGACTAGTAGTCTTATTTGACATTTATTTCCATCAGTTTCCACTGTTCTATAAATTTTTAGATTTCCTTGGTTATCATGCTCGAAATTATTGCATTTTCGCTGTTGTACTGTGATAAGAAAGTAGCATGGCTATTTGTTTATCCTATGTACACAACGGGTTACTTTCTCTGTTCAAGTAAACAAAAACTGACCCACCTCAGTGTAAAAGGGTAAGAGTGCAAATGGAGAGTTTATTATGCACCAACTACAAATTCACTACTAATTCTGAAAATTATATAAAAAATACAATGTTATAGATAGATCGTATGATTTACTCAACTGGTCAGTAATCAAATGTGAACACATTTAGCTAACGGTTTAATTATTAATTAATTTAGTTTATGTATACAATTTATAACATCAATGAACTAACCACTTCAATTAAAAATATAAATAATTTACGGAGTCATATTCTTGATTCATTTCGACACTAACATACTCGGATTCTGTTCATAGTTAACATCTAAGTTTTGATTCAGTTCCCATGTTCGTCGTGACTACTTCAGTATAGACTTGATAAGCTCAGTAGTGTTTACCATATTTGTCTTATTCAAAGTTAACCATATTGTTACTTACTTCCAACGTAAAGTTTACCTTATACTGAGTTCCAGTTTCTTTTTTGTACCCAGATGATAAATGTTTAACGAAGAATCAAAAGGCTGAACCTTAGTTCTCAGTAAACAAGATGGCTAAAGCTCGTAAAAGTAATTTTATAGCTTTTGTAATGTTTGTCCCAAAGTACCAAACGCCACCAAAGAAGAACTCATGGTTTTAACCGTGAGTGAAATAATCTCACACCTTTTAAAAGCTATTGAAGAGAAACGTGATATTGATTTAAATAAGTAAGTAATTGTTTAAGTCTTATTAGTGATAATTTGTTCTTAATTTGAAGACTGAAGTCAGCAATATCTAGTAAATATGGCTTAGCCTCACAACCACGTCTGGTTGATTTAATCGCAGCTGTACCAACAGAACATAGACATGTAAGTTAATTTCCATTGGTGATGAAGGTTTACCAAATACACTGTCTAGGTGCTGTTGCCACATTTGAAAGCGAAACCAGTTAGATCAGCTAGTGGGGTAATTAAGTGTATATATATTATTAAATTGCCTATTCCTATACTCATTTTATTGTAGATTGTAGTTATAGCAGTTATGTGTAAACCTCATCGATGTCCTCATATAGCTGTGACCGGGAATGTTTGCGTGTAAGTGTTTGAAATTACTTTACATTTTATCCTCTTATCTACAGCTATTGTCCAGGTGGACCAGATTCTGATTTTGAATACTCCACACAATCGTATACTGGATATGAGGTAATTTCTCAGCTTAGACCACATAACTCACCAATGTTATTATTAGCCCACTTCCATGCGTGCTATTCGAGCTCGTTACAATCCCTTTATTCAAACACGGCATCGAATTGAACAAGTAATTTTTCGTGATTACGTTTACACATTTCATTTATAATTCTAGCTTCAACAACTCGGACATACATGTGATAAAGTCGAATTTATTGTTATGGGGGGAACGTTTATGTGTCTTTCTGAAGACTATCGGGATTATTTCATTAGAAGCTTACATGATGCACTATCTGGACACACAAGCCAAAACGTTGACGAGGCTGTTAGGTAGGTATAACTCACACTTCCTGACACTATTTTTATAAGTTTTACGTTATCTACTGTATGGATTTAAGTGAAAAATCTTCTTTTCGATGATTGGAGATTCCCTATGAACCTGGAAGTTTAGACATTAATGATCAATGTAGGTATAAATGCCAAGGTTGGACTTGATAGTTTTAAATAAATTGAGCATTGGGTAGAAAGTCAGTAATAAATGTATTTTTTCGTTATAACCGCATGAGTAGTAAAATCTTATTCCCAACATTTCGTGATAATGTAAGCCACTTCTTGAGAGTGAATAAATAACCAAATTAAATTAATGGTTTTAAATATAGTTTTTCTACTCATTGAGATGTAACAAAAGATATATTTACTACCGGTGACCAATGCTTAACAGCTTCAATTATCATTTAATTGAAAGTGCGATAACTTGTAATACTGTGGGGATTATTCTAAAAAATTGTTCAACAACTTAAGCCATAAATTCTTTCTAGAACCTAACGCAATTCTTTGAAAGCATATGATTGTCGTACCTAGATGATAGTTCAAATAACGAATATAGGATTATATATACTATTATATACTATTGAGAGGGAACTATGTATTAAGTATTTTGTATAGGTGGTTTAGGAATTTAATCTTTGTTCATAACAACTCGAACCAAAATGTGTTTTTATCCATCAAGGTTTGGATACTTAATGATAGTATTAACTTTAGTATTAGATGTGATCAATACCCTCATACACATACACTATGTGAACTTTGTTTTTAAATTTCTTGTTATAAAACTACACAACATTATAACTGTTTGTAGGTATCATTACCAAGGTTTGACTTGATAATTTCGAATAAATTGAGCATTAGGTAGATTGTTTTAAATAAACAATATATTTGTAATACCCTAACGAGTAGAAAAATTAGATTTTCTGACGTTTTGTGACTTAGTGTAAGCCACTTCTTCAGGGATTAAATAACCATCACATAACATTCTTGTTGTTCCGTTGTAGTATTTAAGCTTGGGTTAATTTTGATTTGATTATTTATTCTCTGAAGGAGTGGCTTGCACTAAGTCACGAAACATCAGAAAATCCAATTTTTCTACAAACATATTGTTTGTTTATTATAACTATTTGTTTTTTTTATTAGGTATTGATATTCTTGAACACATCACCATCTTGTCTGAACTCCATTCTACTTTCTTTGGTTAAGGGGACTGATTTGTACTACTAGTCTTCCCACTACAAGTGTGGTTTGAGTCCAAATACATAACTCCATAGTTTTTCACATACTTTGCATTCATGTTATTAAGTATTGAAAGTCACGATTGTGTAACTTAAGCTAATAATCACAAAAACGTAGTGATAATGCGTACCAAGATTTCAACATAGGTAGTTCGAAACATGAGTTAAATGAACTTAATCACTGAAAGCACGTAATACTGTGCAATTAATCATCTTAAACATACAAGTGGGGAAGAATAGGTACTCAGTGGCATCATAAATTTCCATCATTGATCGTATAATGATGGTAAAACGTGACGAACAGAAAATATTTTTATTCTCCCGTTATATTACAAATAAAATGAGGAAAAAATCAATGCGATCATCTATTACGGTTCCTTGATCGAAAAAGCGAAAAAGCATATTTCAAACTTTTTTGAATACGAAGGATATAGTTTTTGAATCGAATTACCATAACTTCCGACAAGCTAGCGACCCTCGTCTAGAAACGAGAGTGAGTAGCTAAATTAGTAATTAAAAATCTAAGTGTAGAAACCAGGTAAGCTATCCTTTTATCTGGACATCCATTCAGTCACTCATAATCAACGTAGAGCCAGGCGCAAATTTCTATTAGTCCAAGTTCTTAAACCATATTAGTACCATAAAAAGTAAATTAATAAAAAAAATAAAAACATTGTCGAAGCAATGTAAGGACAATCATAATAAGGATGACTAAAAATTAAGAATACAATTTGACAAGACAATAAAAATTTGTATATAAAGAAACACTAGGACTTAATATCTAGTGGATGATAATTGGTAAATGCATCTACCTAAATGTAATTGGTTTTAAACTATGTCAACTAATGTTCCCAACCATTGGTTACGACATGTCTGAGGGCTTCATCCAGATTGTTCGCATCTACCAATGTGACTTAAACCTACAACCACTGACTTCATTAACTTATGGTTCATTGTGGTTTGACCACCCTTTTTCTTTTTCCAACTTACTCATACACCAGCCAACGTCACCCATTATGAAAGCTGACGGGTGGGCATACATAACACTTGTTTTTACCAACTTAGTGCATGAAGATTCACAATCAAATTAATCTCTTAGTACACTGTCCCTAATCTCAGCATTACTCACTTAATTGCTCTACAAAACTTGAGCAGTGCTTTGAAGATCGTAAAATGGCAAGCAAAAATCAAGTGTACAAAAAATAATTTCAATCTCTCTGTTCAGTCTATCGTGTAGAATATCAGTATGTATATTTCCATTGAACTTGAGTTGTATTAGGAGGGCGGTTTCTTACGAGTTCGTACCTCCAGCTCCCTATTCACTTTATATACATATGCATACTTTTTCAAAGCCTTATGGAAACCCCATTCCAATCATATTTTATTTAAATTCTAATTATTTGTTCATTTCATTATCTAAATAAATAACTCCATTTAGGTCATCTAATTTAATGCATTTGTTTAAATATGACATAATTTAAAGGAAAGCTAAGCATTATATGCTTACTGTATTATCATCGATGTAGATTCTGGAAGTACTGTGAAAGTTTAGTAAAACAGTCTCTTAATGGTTAAAACACTCCAATCTGAACCACTGGTTGATTGTGTGAGTTCCAAACCCTTCCTGTCTATTTTGTCTAGCACACAAACAATTTATAACTTAATGTCTAATAAGCAATCAATCTTTCCTTGAATTAACCGGTTAATGAGAATTAAATTAAAGCCGTCAAGTACTTTTTAGTATTAATAAGAAAACTTTCATTTAACAGTTATTTATACTTTAGATCAATCTCATTTAATAAATGATCACTATATTTTTACCTATTAGTTATTCTGAACGAAGTAGAACAAAATGTGTTGGAATCACCATTGAAACACGTCCAGATTATTGTTTAAAAAAACATTTAAGGTAAGTTACAAACCAGTATTCATCCGTTGGATAATTTATTTCATTTTAGTGAAATGTTACGTTATGGTTGTACACGGTTAGAGATTGGTGTTCAAAGTGTTTATGAAGATGTTGCCAGAGATACAAATAGGTGAGGATTTTAATTTGTATATGAAAATAAACATACTCAACTTGTTTTTTTAATAATAATTTTTGTTGTAAACTCTTCCGGAAAATGGGGTGTGGCCCCCTAAGAAAACCACCTGCTTCGGTTCGGGCACCCGGGCAGTATCACAACCCTCACACAAATCAATTGAGATTCGTGTGGCGCATATGTATTCGGTGCCTCCTTGTACCAATACCTATGTGTTAAAATAAATAAAATAAAAAACTTCCGGAAAATAATAATTTTCCTTTATTTTACACAACTATATCAATCGGTTATATATGTAGTTAGTTAAACTAATTATAGCCACTACCAGGGAAGTCCAACTTTCTGCATTTTCACGGAGAGGGTGTTGCTTACGATGTTGCTGGAGGGGTACGAAAAGCGAATGTCTAGCGCTTTAACCGGGTTGGTGGATGTTAAGGATCCACCTAGAGGAGTTGAAAAACCCTGATTCCAAACCAATAGTGCACATGGGCTCCAGGATCTTGAGGGGACAAATGGTGTATGAACCTATTGTTCGTCACTGGCTACCATTGAACTGCATTTTCTGAAGTTGCTGTACTGCCTTGTGTATTAGACCTTTAGATCAAAGGCCCTAAGTAAAATACCTGCTTCGGTTTGGCCACCCGGACAGTATTCCAGCCCTCACACAAATCGAATGATTTATGTGGCGCATATCTGCTTAATGCCTCCTTGTACCAATGTTTATGTGTTTAAATATTAATAGGTAAACGAACTTATTTGAGGTAAGTGTGCTACGGAAACTCTTAATTCAGGTTTCATAATTGTCCATTTGTGTCAATATATTTGTAACAATGATGCATTTAACTACATTGCCACTGTCATCAATTGTTACACTTGACTGAATTAAATATATTTTTTCATAATTGAGATAATTAAAATTTCTTAAAACTATGCGTTTGATTAGAACCCTACACATATTATGGTTATAACTCATGTGTTTATGATCAATGTTATAGATTGTCTGGCTTGTTTAATGACTGAATTACTTACTTACTTACGCCTGTTACTCCTAATGGAGCACAGATCGCCGACCAGCATTCTCCAACACACTCTTTCCTGGGCCTTCCTTTCCAGTTCCATCCAATGACTGAATTATATCGATCAAATTGGGAATTTGTCCTTTTAGTCAGTAGATTACAATTTTTATAAGAAAAACTCTTCTCACAATTATTTCTTACGTAATTTACAAATAAATTTGGAACGAAATTTCTTCTTCTTTTAAGAAACAAACAAACAAAACAAACTTACTTTAACTTCCAAATTTACACCACTTACTCATTGGTTATTCATTTCATGGAGAGGAATGAAGGGGCTTTCTAAGTTTGTTTGTTTTTTTCTGTTAAATCTTATGATAGTGGCAATAATTATCTGTCTTTTAAGTCGGTAACTTTTCAACTACTTTCAATTTATTTTCACGAAATTCCCCCGTGAAGTTGTTATCTGATCAACAACAACAAAACTATTTGTAGAATTCTTTTCTTTTTGTTTTATTTAATAGAGGTCATACTGTTAAAGCTGTTTGTGAATCATTTCATTTATCTAAAGATGCTGGATTTAAAGTTGTTTCACATATGATGCCTGATTTACCAAATGTTGGCTGGGAACGTGATTTAGCACAATTTGCTGAATATTTTGAAAATCCAGCTTTTCGTTCAGATGGTTTAAAAATTTATCCAACACTTGTTATACGTGGTACAGGTTTATATGAATTATGGCGTACTGGTCGATATAAAAGTTATCCACCTGGTATGCTAATCGATTTGATTGCCCGAATATTAGCGTTAGTCCCACCATGGACTAGAATTTATCGTATTCAAAGGTAGATTCATTTATTTGTTTCATGGGTAAAACTAGTATAATTTTTTTAAAAATTAAGGTTGCATAGCAGCTAGTAGTGAAATCCTAAATGCTCGTTTCATCCTATTTAGGACTTGTCGGGTAGTTGAATATGCCTATGTCTCAGTATTGATATTCACACTGAGACTATAGTTACAAGTTTTATTGCATTGTTGGATTGTACTGAATTTTTAACTATGGGAAAATACGAATCGTTACAAATACTATTCTTCCCGTTTGAACATGTCGGTGATTACCTGGACTCAATAGCTCAATCGATAAGGTGTAGGGATTTAAAGCGAAGTCTACTAAATTCGAGTATCACTGGGATACGAGCGAACCCTTTTGATGAGTCATAAGTGGGAAAAAAGGCACACCCTCGATTTCACTGTTCATTTTTATCCAACTTCACAAGAAACTTATGATTAACTAAGAATATTGAGACAATCCATTTCGGATGCACATACAGCAATAGAGACTAATTATTTTCAGTCTTTAACGCCAATAGTGAAAAAATACAAACCCTTACAAATGACTATGATAATATCGATTTCAACTTTCAATGGGTGCACATTTTCATGTAGTTAGTTTAAAGTTGTGCAAAATTTACTTTCCAGCTTCCTTCTAATCTCCGTCAGTCATCATCAAGGTATAAATGAATGTGTTCACAAGTCCTTCGTAATGACATAATTTGACAATTTTTTTTCCTGTTTTATATGAAATTTACACTCAAATAATCAATAAAATATCGACCATTTTTTAAATAACACTTTTAATCTATTTTAGTTTAAACTAGTCTAGTCCAAACAACTCGGTTGTTACGTATTTACCATTGACATTGCGAGATATTTTCACAATATCTCGAGTTGATTAAAGCTATAAATGTAAATCACTGGATGCCGACTCTGTGATTTAGAGGTTAAGCACTCGTCACAAGACCTGAAAAGTTTTCGGTTCCATCCACGACGTGATTATAGATACACACTTCTGAGGAGTTCCATACTAGGATGAAACGACCTTCTAATGTTTTAAATATCTGTCCAAATTAGGTTTGTGCGTGATTTGAACTATGTGATTCAGTCTAGATATCTAGAACGTAACGTTTACGTTGATTTACTCCTGAATTGTTCATTATAAACAAAAAGTGGTTTTACAAGACTGGCAGGATTCCGTCTCGACATTCACTATTTGTGGTCAGCTGTTAGAAATAGTCGGAAAGTTCGTATACCTGGGTAGTTTTTGTGTATTGTGTTTTACCTTGTCAGGTGAAATCAACCTGTCTATAGAGAATGTCAGAGTGTCTTATATCAATCTAAACCATCTTTGGCGCCTTCGTGAAGTTAGTCAATATATGAAAGGTTGAATTTACAATGCATCGGCGGGAGCACTTCTGCTCTCTGTTTGTGAAACTTGGCTTATCCCAATTAAGGACGCTTAGTGAGTGTGTTGAACTATAGTTGTCTCGGAAGGATTGCTAATCGCCAGTGATGGGAATCCATGAATCGAAGTGGGGTGGTTTACTTTTAGGGTCGATGTTCCCTAACCCTCTCTTTCAGTTATGCAAAGGCAACAACTCCACAGTTTTGGTTATCTGAGTGGGACACTCCTGTCGTCACAATCTTGTATAGTCGTAAGTGCTACTTCTCCCTCGGAACTTGAACGTCCTTCTTTTAGTTTTTCGCCCCGCAACTGAACTGTCTAGTCAATATAGCTGGACTGAATCATCACGGTGTGCAAGTCAGACTACCACACCAAGATAGTAGTTACAGTCAGCTATGATATGATGTAATTCAGTGCATCTATTTTCACTGCATTAAGATCCTGCATTCCTGATAATGGGGTTTATTTTTTTCACAATAACTTTTAGAGATATTCCTATGCCATTAGTAACTAGTGGTGTGGAACATGGTAATTTACGTGAACTTGTATTAGCTCGGATGGAAGAACTAGGTGCTAGTTGTCGTGATGTTCGAACACGTGAAGTTGGCATACAAGAAATACATTCACGTGTAAAACCATATCAGGTATGTGAGTTCTAAAAAATACAACTAGTGTTTCTACAAGCTTTATATTTTCTGCTCTGTATATTGCAATTCAGTTTTCTGTCGTTGTCGTGTAAAGCCCCCAAGTGCCCTGGCACGGCCGAGAGTGAGGAGAGTCCGCTCTCCCTCTCGAAATGCTCTCACATGGCCACGCCTATATAGCCTCTGCCAGGAAAGTCCTACTCACTGCCTTCTCGTGGCGGGGGTGTTGTTTACGAAAATGAGAGGACGAAAAGCGAATGTCCAGAGCTTTAACCGGACCCCAAACCAATGGTGCACATGGGCTCCAGTCTCCTGCCTGAGGGAACAAATGGCGTATGAACCACTCGTTGGTCACCGGCTACCATGGGACTGCATCTTCTTATGACGCTCCACTGCCTTGTGGATCTTCAGGTTGAAGGCTCTGGGTGTGGCCCCTTAAGAAAATCACCTGCTTTGGTTTGGTCACCCGGGTAGTATCACAGCCCTCGTACAAATCAAATGAGATTTGTGTGGCGCATATCTCTATTTGGTGCCTCCTTGTACCAATCTCTATGTGCTCAAATAAATAAATAATGTTGTGTAAAACAATTGTGATTCGATGATATACAATGATATATAGATATCAGAAATTATTACTCGGTTGGTCAGTGTTTTTACACAGTTCTTCCAGATAATTTGAACATCGTCTTATATAATAGTTGCGATCAAGTCAGCATCTTATTACCTAGATAATATTCATGGTGGTAACAAGCAAATGTTCTTATGTACCCAATTTTATGCAGCATTTTGTAAATAAATACTGGTCGACTGGAGCGCGGTGTTCAGAGCCTTACCACATGTAACTAGTAGTTTAAACCAATAACATTTAATTGGTGAATTACGGTTCATATGGTACAACAACTGACTTATTTAACATTGCTAAATATAGAAAGGAAAGAGTGTAATCGGAAGAAGCCGACAAAACACACCATAAGTACCAATTGAATATGGAAGAACACAAAGTTAAAAAGTTATAACATAATAAATTTCCGAAATGGAATGGAAATAGTACCAGATGATTTACAAAATTATTCCTTTAGATGTTGACTACTATATTATTTCTTATCATTTTATTCATTCTCTGTTTGTTTGTAGGTAGACCTTATTTTAGTACATTTTTGTTATGTGAATTACATCTCTATATGCACTCCTGTCCTCAACTCTCTAATCAGTATATGTGATGAAATAAGTGAGTAATGGTGAGGTTTGGTGTAGTTTACTTGTCAGGGTTGGTGAGGGTTTTGGCATTTGCCGATTAAAGTGACTGGACAACGTGTTAAACATATACAGTCACTGACTACCCTTTATTGGTGGCCAGTATTCGAAGTAGTTTGGAAAAAGCTAATTTGGTAACCAGACTGAAATATATTGGGTCATTATGTAAAGTTATTAGCTATTGTTCAGAGCCTTTTTACAAAAATGCAGACTATGCTTCAGGCTAGCGTTATAATTGTAATCAACTGTTGACACATTTTGATTTGGTTGCTGACAATCAGTCATAGTGACTTAAATGTATTCATTCTTTATTTTTGATTTAGTCTGCGGTTATTCAATATGTTTTCGTTGTTCAATGAGTGGATCATCTTCAACACTTTCTATCATTTTCTCATTGATTTTTTGGTTGAATGTTACATAGTAGAAATCTCATTTCAGGCTCCAACTGCCATCCTATTTGCTTTTTTCATCTTAATTACTTGCTTTTAGCAGATAGACTTGAAATGAAATCTTTGATAAACATTGCATTCTAATATTTGAGATTTACTCAATGATTGGAGTAGTTGGATCTACAGTTTATAATACCTTTATTAAAGATTGAAAACGTTAAGGATAATTTCAGTCATTCTTTAGTTAGATGTAAAAATTTTTTATACAATTCCACACTAATCATTGGTCCGATTTATTTATTCTTCTCAAACTTTATTCTCACAATTTTCATTATTTTCCTAACTATATTTTGATTCGAAATGCAAGCAATTTTGACCGATGTACTAATGTCGCTCCTATGTTTGTACCAGATGCTCTGATGTATTTTACTCAACTGATTATACATATAGTTCTATAGCTTTGAAAATCAACTGGACGAACATAGCATTGTTCACTGAACCAATGTTTCTTATTTTATGTCTGAATGAGTATATTCCGTTAAATGATTCCAATGAATGCCTTGGGTTGTTTAGCTCTGTCCATCTTCAAGTTCTTCAACATGTTTCTTCTGTCTTTTTTCCTTCGGAATGTACTTCCATTCATTCAATACAGGTTGAACTTGTTCGTAGAGATTATGTTGCAAATGGTGGTTGGGAGACATTTTTAGCCTATGAGGATCCATATCAAGACATATTGATCGGTTTATTACGTTTAAGAAAGTGTTCATTACAAACATTTAGACCAGAATTAATCGCTACAAAACATAATAATGATGGTGATGACGATGACGATGTTCAAGGTAATAAAGATCCTCGTTGTTCCATTGTACGTGAATTACATGTATATGGTAGTGCTGTTCCAGTGGCTGCTAGGGATCCCACAAAGTTTCAACACCAAGTAAGTTCAAGTGTAATTTAACTATATATCAGAAAAAAATGTTTTTCTGTGTATTAATAAAAGTAGTAATAACAATAATAATAGCATTCTAAAGTTAGGAATTTCTCGTAAATACCTTGTCAAGTCCACCGAAGTTGAGCATCTGGATTCGGTAACAGTCACAAACTGTCATGGCCTCTCCATGGATGTATTGTTCTGCGAAAAACAATTATCCACCTGGTTAAAACTCACATTCCTCGTGTTTAACTCAGCAAGAATGGCAGTATCAGTGCAGACAGATAGAAAACTGACCAATCAATGTGGTCGGATGAGTGAGTAATACATTAAGCAATCGATAACTGATTAGTTAACAATTAATCAATGAAGTACAAGAAGGAAATTGTGCAACTCACTTCTAGTTACTCATAAGTAATGTAGTTGTCATACTCCAAACTGACTATCAAGTAAATAATCTGGTTGGAGTTTCGAGCTAGGAGGTTCTTTGTTTGAATTTACTCGTCTGTTATAGATATAGTTTACATATCGCGTCAGTCGTTTACCTCGTACATCAATCTCACACATGACGTCACCAACCTTTCTTACAATGACACCATCTATCCATGAAGGTCCCCAATATCAAAAGTTTTTTACGTGCTATGGTAACCCATCAGGAAACTGACGATCAGTTCTTTTCTCCCGTCTTCTTCTTTACGATTACATGCAATCAAATGAAGTCCGAATCTTCCTTCCGAACATTAACTCAGCAACGGAAACACCGTTAGTTGAGGCTAGATTCGGGGTTATTTTTTATGCTCTCAGGAAATTTTAAATGACTTCCTCCGTCGTGCCCTACTCTTGTGACTTGATGAGAGCTCGATTGAAAATATCTACAAAACGCTCAGTTTGTCCGTTTGGCTGGGGATGGTAGGGCGGTGACCGAATTTGTGTAATTGCGTTCTGTAAACAGAATGTCGAGATCTATGTAGACTGATGTCTATTGTCTGTTTCCATATCACACCCGTCTTTTATTATTCTGGCTTAGTTTACAATCGATGATCTCGATCGATAGAAAAATTGCCTGATTTTTCAGGTTCGTTTGAATTACCATCTTTTTTATACCACTCGAAATTTTGGGAAGTTAGTTTAGCGATCGTCAGGTTGTCTTCCAGTGGTCAAATCATCTCATGTCAATTGCAATGTGGTAGTACTTCGTTTGCCAAGGATTTATTTCACTGTGACATATAGACATAGTTATTTCTGCAAACGACTTGGTTTATAAATTGGTCACGAGAATTCGATCAGTGCTGAAGACTAGGACAAACATAACATTGGGCACTGCTACGTGACTAATCAATTGTTAATAGCTCAGACCTACAGGATGTTCACTCCCTGAATATATGAATTGTAACGTCTGGAGTAGTAAAGCCTTACCGCCTATGTTTTAATCCCATAGCGAGTAGCAGTTTCCTGAAAGTTGCAAATATGCCCTACCAACAATTGTCACGGGTTTTCGCAATGGATACAACAGCTAATTCAAAATAAACTGAGTTATTCATTGTTTGCTTGACTGGTTAACAGACAGATTTGAATATGCTGAAATAAGTAGTAGTTCGATGTACAGTTTTCGAAAATTCAATGTGATGTATGTTATTTAATCCGTTAATTGATTAAACTGCTGCAAATAATAATTAAGTTGCTTAGTTATTTTCACATAGTTTTGAGGTTCTCAAATGGTTGTAAAACTTGTCTATTTTGATCTTTAGTAGTGATGTAGTTCATATCTACCACTGTATACTGAGTCGATATACTGTATTAATTTGAACATTCACGTTGTTCGTTTCTATCAACTTCCTTATTCAGTAATTTAAAGTGTGGATAGTCAATCGGATTAGTTTCTAATAGTCTTGTGTTTGATAAACAAAACATCCAACATTCAGTCAACAATCTGTAGATGGTTGAACTCCATCAACACTTAATGAGTCAATTTTAAGATTCTGTTTCTTTAATTTTCCGTTATACTTCCTTGACAATGTTCATCAATCTACTGCCTCTCCAACTGGTTCTATTTTAGGGTTTTGGAACTTTACTAATGGAAGAAGCAGAACGTATAGCTAAATATGAACATGGTTCGTTGAAGATTGCAGTTATATCCGGTGTGGGGACTAGAAACTACTATCGAAAATTGGGTTATAAATTGGAAGGTCCATATATGATCAAGTTTTTATAATGCACATTTTAAATAACTTGACATACACTGACAATATTTCCTTCCCCCTCCCCATTGATTTTATGTACATTTTTTTTATTCTCAATAATCACCCTCTAATAATCGTTTATTACTAATTTATGATCGATTCGAGTTGTATTTTTAGAAAAGGCTTCTGAGTATAATTAGACTTTACGAACGGTTTTTAGTGATAACTTGATGGTGATTTGATACCTGTACGTACAAAACACTTATACTAGGTATAATGTTGGCAGCATTTAATACAGTGTCATAAATGATAGGTTTTAATATCTCATTTTTGGTATAAGTTCCTGTATGACTAATTGAATTTGAATTGAAAACAATAATATAATCAATGAATGTGAATGAATTCTTGGTTTAAGGCTGATTATGTGGATATTTCGTTGTCACAATAACGAACAAATTAAATTGGTTTACTAAGTGAGTTGAGCTTCAATAATGTCATACTGATGAAGGTTTGTAGTCATTCATCATATCAGTACCATTCATCACAGATGTACCTCCAATACACACTAGTCCTCTCTTACAAATAGCTAAGTACTGGATGTCTTTCTCTTTTCTTGATCGTTTCGTCTGAATATACATTACTCATTTGCCGTCAAAATCACTGCACTGTATGTATTATATGGAGTATTGATCATAATACACATGATTTCTGTATTAGCATTCTGAATTTCAACTAAATGAAAATCCGGATTGGAAATATATCTTACGACTTCCTTCTTATACGACATAACATTTGCAATTGGTTCATTGTGTAAGTTAGATATATCCGGATTATTTGTGGATGATCTGCTTCCCATATATGACTAATATCCCCTATCTGCTAATATATATTTATGCCTTATCTTATAGAGCATTTTATTATACTGATGGGGTACTTAGTTGAAATACAGCTTTGATCGTATTGATGTTACTTGTACTATTAACTACACTTGTGACCGTTATTTGTATGTCGGTAATTTTTTTGCTGCGGTGATATTCGATTGCATACATCCAGTCACACCAAACATTCATAGTTATTATCGACGTCCATTTCACATACTCAGCTCTCATATTTCATTACCTTTTCATGTACACATTTATATGGGAGAGCTTTGCATACAACTCAATAGGACTCTCAGAAGTGGATGTGAGCTCTGATTTGGTGTGCCAGAAACTGCACTTTTGGTCCGACTATAGTCCATTTTACTATGCTGAATGAAGCAGCTTCAATCTTGTCAACAACGCTTAGTGTGATGTCCTCACATGCGTTAAGCCGAGGTGAATTACCAGAAAACAGGAAGCTGGCTGACAACACCAATTTTGGAAGAAGTTTGGCACAGCAAATCTTCAAGCTACCGACCATTAGCACTCCCCTTATTACCCTCAAAACTTATGGAGTACCTGAAATGCGACGGTCCATACGGCTACTTACCATCCATAAACTTTTCACCACAACAGTACGGTTTCAGAAGATGTCATTCTTGTGTCACCAACCTACCGACCACGGTGGACAGATGAACAACCATTTTTGGTCGCAGGGGGAAGATCAATGTCATATATCTTGACTTCTCAACAGCTTTTGATAGGCTCAATCATATGTGATTTATTACTAATCTCAAACGATTAGATATTAAATCACTTTTAGTTAATGAACTCATTATATATCTAAAAAGTCGACATTTTAGGGTCAGGGTTCACTTCACTTTCTCTCGGGCTGTGGGATGTCCTAGTTGGGTCCCACATCGTTCAGCACTGGGACCTCTTCATTTCTTGATTTACAAAAACGATATTCCACAAGAAATATAGTCAGGTTAATTACTTTTCGCTGATGATGTGGAACTCTGAAGTGAGGTTTGAAACCAAGAGGATAAACTGGCAATTTAGGAGAAACTGACTGGACTTCATAGTTGAGCAAGAAACAAAAGACTTACTTTTAACGCTTTAAAGTGTAAATTAGTCCATCGGAGACGTTTTGCAGGCTAAGAATACAACTTATGTAACTCCCCTCTCGAGGTATCCCAAGTTGAAAAAGATCTGGGAGTGCTGGTACCCTACGATTTGGAGTCTTACTCGAAATGCGACAAAAATGTCTTCCGTGCAAACGCTGCAAGTTGAAGCGCATTTTCGGCGAGAGGATGAAGACACTCTAGAAACTACCCAACGGCGAGCCACGAAATCAGTTCGGGGACTCAAATTTAAGTCTTATAAAGAGCACCTACAATTACTGAACCGCTACCCGTTAGACCAAATTCGTCTTAGTGGTAACCTAATGACTTATAGCATCCTAAACACTTCCAAGTATTTCTTTAAACATCCACTTGTGCTTAGTCCCAACACAAAAATTAGAAATAACACCCAAAAACTGGAGATGTAGTACAGCAAAACGAACTGTGAGGAAAACCTTCTACTCCTTAGTAGTATTGTTGTAATGTGCTGTCGGCTGGACTAGTCCGAGCTAGTTTCCACAAATCCTTTAAGAGAAAATTTGGGAAATTCTTAAGGACTAAAGACATTATCTCACTATAATTTACTAATTCTATTTTTTCTCTCTTAGCGTAAAAATACCTGGGTACTTGCCTGGATGCATCGGTGATCCATGGCTACTAGATACAGAAACCCGTTGAGCGAATGCTCTTTCTATTCCGTCCACAGCTATTCAAACCATATCATTTATCGCAGCCCAATCCGCTAAGTTGATGTCTTAATTCTAGAGTACATTCAGCTATGGAGTGCAAATGACAAATGTGTGATTTAAAGAGACTTTAATCAACGTCATATTAGTTGAACTGAGATTGTCACGGTAGGATCCATAATCACCTTTTTATATTAGGTTCCTGATAACAGTTGTTGAAATCTTAGAAAACATTATTCGGAAGGAGTTGATTAAGTACCTCGATGTAAACCGGATCCTCTCGGAGAAGCAGCACAGTTTCAGAATAGGTTATTCTTGTCTCATTAACATATTAGTCGTTCGTTAAATCTGGTGCGCTCTTAAAGAACAAAAGTCACCTGTAGATGTAGCCTGCACTGATTTCAGCAAAGCTTTTGACAAAATTCTGCACAACCGGCTTTTGTATAAGCTGAAAAATGTCGAAATTGGAGGCAATCTAATTATGTGGATAAAAGACTTCCTAGTTGGGCGCAAACAGAGAGTAAGGGTAAACTCAAGGTTATCTAGCAAGGAAACTGTGCTTAATGGAGTGCCACAGGGTACAGTTTTGGGGCCAGTTCTATTCCTCTTTATGTAAATAACTTTCCTCGCCTAATATCATCATCGGTCTTGATGTACGCTGATGATGTCAAGATATGGAGAACGATACGATGTAAGGGTGATAGCTTAGAACTCCAAAATGACCTGAAGAAATTATCCGAATGGTCTCATACCTGGCAGTTGCCGATAAATACTTCCAAGTGTGTTGTGATGCATATCGGTCATCAAGGTTCAGATACATACACGATGAGTAACACTGAGCTACCTGTTGTCCAGACACATAATGACTTAGGAGTCATCGTTAGTCGAGGTCTGAAGACTACTGCACACTGCCGTGCGATAGCCGCCAAAGCTTTTAGAACTTTATGGTCAATACGTAGGGCTTTTACTCATGTCGAAGCTCAAACGTTTTTGACTTTGTATACAGTGTTTGTACGTCCTAAACTTCATTACTTCATACAAGCGGCTAGCCCCTGCCCAAAAAAGACAGGGAGCTATTGGAAAAGGTCCAGAGAACCGCAATTAAGCTGATTCTCGGAATAGCGAAGCTTTCAAACGACGCTGGACTGGCCAAGCTGAACCTATTCCATTTGTCGTATCGTAGAACTAGAGGCGATTGATTACAGTTTTCAAATTGCTTAGTGATAAACTTGCATCTGATTTGCCCTCATTTTTCTTGTCTTCCAAAACAGAGAATTTGCGAGGGCACTCCAAAAATGTTCACAAGCCCAGAATAAATTACTTATCAGTTGACTATCGACTTTCTCATCGAATCATTGACGAGTGGAATTCATTACCTCAGCGCGTGTTTGAAGCTCCATTTGTAGATTCTTTCAAAAGAAAGTTGGATCGGCTGAGAGAACACCATTGCCAGGACTAAAACAGGCCATCAAGCCTCCTGTCCTTTCCAAACTGAAACTGAAACAGTAATAGAGCATGCATTAGTACAGCGTCTATCCAAAACCACATGTTTTGTTTCAAACCAAAGTTCTTCCTTGTTGGACTTGGTAATTACTCATGCAACTGAGGATATTGACATTCTAAATTTTCTTGAAGCTTTAATGAATAGCGATCACGCTGTTTTGCCATTCACATTTAGAGTTCGTGTTATGATACACGATCAGGTTATACCTCGCCCAAATGTATGGAGAGCTAAGAAATCATCCATTCAGGAGTGCGCTGCTAAGATAGATTGGTCAGCAGGTAATAGCTCATCATGGTCTACATTTAAAGGCAAATTTAGTTCAGCTACGTCCTCGTTTGTATCATACCTGGTACAGCGTAGACCGAATGACTGTCCACCATGGACAAGTAAACAAGTCATGAAGCTTCTTAGACGTAGAAAAAAGGGTTGGAATATATTCATCTCTACTGCCATAGAACAATATGGATCAAGTTACTGCTAGACTAGGAGTGCTTGTAAAGCGTTGATAAGTAAAACTCGTCAGTCTTATAAGAAACAATTGGTTAGGGATTTTGAAACTAGTCCGGAACTGTTATTCTCGTATAATAAGAGGCGAACTTAGAGAAGTGACGGAATTCCACCACTTTTGTACAAGAAACTCCGTTAATATTGGTAAGAGATGATTCTAGAAAATCTGAAGCTTTATCGAAATATTTTAGTTAAGTCTTTCCCATCAAAAATGTTACCGACGGTTAATTGTGACTGTCTGCTTGTCGATGAATTCTGCAGTTATTGAGAAAGGTACTGTCTTAAGACTACTTCACCATCATAAACCTTATAAGTTTAGTGAACCTGACGACATTCTTCCTAGGATTATGAAAACCCTGTCGGATTTAATTGCTGAACGTATAGCCATACTGTTTGATATGTATCTGTGGCAGTCTAGACTGGAAAGATGTGCGAACTAGTCCGGTTTATAAGGCGATGAGTAGAGACTTAGAAAATATCGAACCATTTGTCTAACCAGAGCAGTTGTCAAACCAATGAAGACGATTATCTGGATGGCCGTAATAAACTGTGTAGAAGAATATGATTTTGGAAAGGTCTATCATGGTGATCTAGTAATCGCTTATCGTATACTGAACTATAACCTGGATGTTAATATGTCTTATCTTTTCCTTCTGTCTAGCACCAATCATTTAGGAGGACATTCTGAGAAAGTTCGAAAATCAAGATCAAATCGTCTACGTCTGGAGTTTCATTT